ATGCCTCCATAAAATGAGCTTTTGTTTAAGCTTTATAACTGAGTTTTAGTGTAATTCGTTTTCAGTTTTTTTTAGCTTTGTTTTTTGTTTTATTTTATATTATTGAGAATTTAAAAATTATAAAAGTTTTTTTGTAGGTAAAATTTGAGGAAATTTTGATTAGTAAATTATTTAATGAAATGGCTTTAAATTATTGGTTGAAGAAGATGACATAGCAGTTTTGAAATCTACCATTGATTGATTATTTTTGCTGATGTGGCAGCTCTTAGAAGCCTATAAATCTATCCCTTTTATATAAAGGAGATGGTATCAAATGTGGATTGAAACGGTACACATCCATCATAAAGAGAAGGATAGGAAAATAAGAGTGTAGGGATAGTTAAAGTTTATTTTTGCTTGGAGAAAGAAGTTGTTTTTATCAATACACTGGACCAAGAAATACTCTTTTTATCTAAAATTTGTGTTTGTTCTTTTTATTACTAGGAAGAAGACCCCGTTTCGCGGGGTTAATCTGCAGAATATTAAAAGTTAAACAAAAATTAAAATAATTATAAGTAAAATATATATAATAAAATTTTGAACATTCAAAATAGTTTATAATTATTAAAAGAAAAAGGTGTTTTCAGGTTTTTTTAATTATTAACAATAAGTTCTAAATGAAAATATACAAATTAATTATAATAAAAGTATGTAAATGTTTACAAAATTTTCTAGGATTTTATTACTAATTATTAATAAAAAAATTAAAAAAACTAAAAAGTAATAAGATACACAACTTTTAAGAATGTTAAAAAAAAGTTATGTATAAAAATATACAATATAAATATGTGATATAAATATACGATTTTCTATTTGTATAATTAATAAAAAAATTGTATTCGTGCAAAAGTGTAAAGTAAAAACTAAATTTAGAGGCAATCTTTCAAAAAAAAGTTTATAAAACTATACATTTATTATTAAAAAGTTAGAAACACAGAATTATGCTAAAAATTATATTTTTGAAAAAAATACTTTATATAATAGAAAAAATGATGTAACGATATTTTATAATATATTTTCTAAGACTACTATAGTTTCTAAAAAAAGATTCACAATATTAAAAAGTATATTATATATATATTAGTTAAAATAAAATAAAAACTTTGATACCTTAAAAATACATATATAAATATATGTGAATTTGTTACATTACATAAATATATTTCTCTGAATTTAGAAAAAAGAATTCAAATATTAGGTACTTTAAGTTTAAAAACAACTAACAAAGAATATTAAAATTTGAAAATAACGCATTTAACTATGAATATATAAATGCTTTTCATAAACAAAAAAATAACATAATATATATTAGTAAAAAAAATACATATAATTTTTCTATAATAAAAATATCATTATATTTTGGTTGAATAAATTTTATTTTTCTGATATAATGCATAAAAAACAATTTTATAATGAAATTGCTCATATTTTAGCCAAAACTGAACTCTCAAATAGAATCTTTCACTCAGATTTAATATCTGAACTTCTAGGACTTTTAAACACTTTATATCATGATAACATGTTATGATAAATAAATATGTTTATGACAAAAAAACTCACCAAGAAAATAAAGTTAGACCCAAATATTTTTTTTGTGTGGTTTTGAGCAATATAAATAGTTTTAAAAAGACAGAATAACAGTTGTGATGAAAAACACAACCATTTATAATGAAAATATGCAACCACTTATAATAAAAAGACGTAACCACAAATTTGAAACGACACAGCTTTTTAAAGTGTAAATAACATTTATTCGAATTGTTAACAAAAAATTAAATAACATAATATATATTAGTAAACAAAACACATATAATTTATTTATAATAAAATATTAGATGTTGGTTAAATAAATTTTATTTTTCTGATGTAATGCATATAAAACAGTGTTGTAATAGAACTGCTCATATTTAGCCAAAATTGGACTTCCAAATAAATTTTTTTACTCAAATTCAATATCTGAACTTCGAGGACTTTTAAACATTTTGTATCGTGATAACATTTAGAAAATGTTATAATAAATAAATAAATTTACGACAAAAAAATCACTATAGTTTAGAAAGTAAAAGTTAGATTTAAATGATTTTTTATGTGGTTTTGAGCAATATAAATAGTTTTGAAAAGACACAAATTATAGTTGATGAAAAAAAGGCAATCATTTATGGTGAAAAATGCAATTATTTATAATGAAAAGACGCAACCATAAATTTTGAAAAGACACAATTTTTTAAAGTGTAATTGGCATTTTTTCGGATTGTTAACAAAAAATTAAATAACATAATATATATTAGTAAACAAAACACATATAATTTATTTATAATAAAATATTAGATTTTGGTTGAATAAGTTTTATTTTTCTGATGTAATGCATGTAAAGCAGTCTTGTAATAAAACTGCTCATATTTAACCAAAATTGGACTTTCAAATGATAATTTTTACTCAAATTCAATATCTGAACTTCGAAGACTTTTAAACATTTTGTATTCTGATAAAATGTTATGATAAATAAATAAGTTTACGGCAAAAAAATCATTATAGTAAGAAAGTAAAAGTTAAATTCAAATAATTTTTTTCTGTGGTTTTGAGCAATATAAATAATTTTGAAAAGACACAAACTATAGTTGGTGAAAAAATACAATCATTTATAATGAAAAGATGCAAATATTTATAATGAAAAGATGCAACTATTTATAATGAAAATATGCAACTATAAATTTTGAAAAGACACAACTTTTTTAAGTGCAATTAGCATTTTTTCAGTTTGTTATTATATATATATATATATATATATATGAGCAATAGCCATAATTTGTTTCAACTTAAATAGAGAGCCGTACAAAACAGATCGATATGTTTTTCTTCATTTCAAATCAAAGATTATTTGTAAACAAATAAGGCATACATTAAAAAATAAAATAAACTATAAATATAAATTTGAATTAAGAAAAAAAAAGTAAATTAAAATACAGTCTAGATCCGCCACTGGCTGCAATATTAATTAATGCAATAACCATTTGTCTCTTAAGCTTTGTCTGGCTTCGGATAATGTATTTGTCTCTTACATTATGCTATGAACTCTTTATCTTTATAAAAGCCAATGACTCGAAGATGATACCAACCTCTCGTTGATTTTAGGTTTTTGTCTGCAAAAAAATCCTTCAAGTATTTTCTTTTTGCAACTCTAACCTATATTTATAAAAAATGCAAGTCAAACCACCAAATTTAAATCAATCCACAATGTAACCCTTCTATATGTATTTTTTAACAAATTTTAAAATGACTATCGTTTTAACATCCCGACTTAAGTTGCATTACCGTAGATGGAACTAGGCTGATGAAAACCCAAGTACGGGGACTTCCTAATCGAAAACTCAAGAATGTGGGTTACTATACAATTGGCTATAGCCACCAAAAAATCCAAGCTAAGTAAATTATCATCCACATAGACCGGTTTAGGCATGTGTTCACGGTACCTTCCAATTAAAATAGGACCCGAATTAATTAAAAAAAGTACTATATATAAACTACGTTGCAAGCTCAATCTTCAGAGAAAATAACATAATGAAAATGTGTATCTATCCACAGAAGCTCTATATTCGCAACATTAGAACCACATATCCGTATAGTATCATATTGATACTATTATGACTCTTAAATCTTAATAGTACTATTTAACAAATTGATGTTTTGTAGATCAGAATTCTTTTGCGTTCTAATATGAAATCAAACCAATATACGAAAACAATTCCACCTTGTCTATGTAAAATAGGAATATTGATTGTTTTCTTTGTCTATGCGTGTGTGGATCCGGATGGTGATTCACTAGCATCAGTGGCACAAACGACAATGCTAAACATCGTGGTCAGAGTGTGGAATGATTCGACAGATGTAACCGTAGTCAAACTAGAAATATATATGAAGGACATGAAAGTTGCTAAAAGAAAAACAAAATAAAAGAGATCTAATAATGCAAATTGAATTTAAGTATATCTAATCATGCAAGTACGATATTGCAAAGAACTCTTCTCAGTTAAACAATCCATCATCTCCTCTAGGATATTGCAGCTGATAAAATACTTCTCGGATGAATTGTTACTTCTCAAGAAAAACGATCCATCACCATTGTTTGTAAATGAGCAAAGTTTTTATTTACTAAAAAGACCCCAACTTTTGTTGATCATGTTGTTTTATTCTCAGTGTTAATTAGTCAATATAGTTATAGTTGAATAACATTATAACTAAAATGGTTTTTTATTCAGTAAAATTTTTGTACTATTTGTTTTTTTTCCGTCTCCACCCGTTACTGTGTAAAGAGTAATCATCATTTTGGAGCTGGAAAATAGTAATCATTCTCAAAGTTCTAATATTTTATGTATTTAATAATATTTCAATCACGGTTCACTTCCTTTAACTTTTTTTTTGGTTATATATATTCTTTTTCATGGTTTTCTTTTATCAAGAAAAATAAATGTAGTTAAGAGTCTTAGAGAACAGTATATGTTACTTTTACGTTTTTGTTTCAGACTTCAGATTTTTTATTAAGAATCATGATCATTAAGCTACTCGTGTAATATTTTATTTACAAGTAGCAACTTTTCCTTCTTTTTTTTGCCATAGTTGAACTAAACATGTTGTAATTCTTGTACAGCTTTTTTTTTTTTTTGAACATTTGCTTTTCTTGTACAACTTTGATGATACATTATATATAATCTTGTTGTTATGTGGGCAGTGGGAATCCAATGTTTGTTGGCTACTTAGTTCATTAACAAGCCAATATAGATAGTAGTTAGTCATTGATTATTACTCGAACTATCTAACTACTATCAATCTTGGAGAGAAAAAATGAATACAATCTTTTCAAAACGCAAACCTCTATTAATTAACTAACCAGATCAAATCAAAAGTTAAGATTTTTTCTTAGCCTTAATTTTCACCATTTGACTTGACTCCTCAAATATGTTTAACTAGAGTCCAGCTAATAGGTCTTGTTCACCTCCAGTTCTAGCCAATACATCGAACCAGAAGTCCATCTCGCTGTCAAAAACCATCTCATTTTCAACAGAGCCTAATTGCTGAAACCCTTGTTGTATTTCATCAAAACCAGCCACTTCAAGATTTGACGCGTAGTTTTGTTCATCTTGGCTATAAAGCGCCTCGTTCCAGAAGCTCTCATCGATGTCTGCACCGAAATTCTCAAAAGAAAAACTATCTTGATCGATAGTACTGATGTCTCCTGATTGTATCTCCATCTTACTCTCGTTGCTATGGCCTTCGTAGCTCATGCGTGTCACCGAAGAAACCTCACTCGTTGAAGGAGATGCCGACGACAAGCTTTCTAAAGAAGGGTTTGATGAATTTGCTAGCTCGGATTCGGATTCACTTCTAGTACTGTTCGAATTCTTCATTACCACCGATTGTGATTTTTGTTTAGTACCCTTCTTTTTGTTGCTAGTCTTAGGCTTAGCGGGTTGATAATCTTCGAGTCTTTTCTTCAAGTGAGTGTGCCATACGTTCTTGATCTCGTTATCCGTTCTCCCTGGCAATTTTGCTGCAATCGCTGACCATCTAAACAAGATACCAAAAGGAAAATAAAGAACGTTAATACAAAAGTAATCATTGTGTACACTTAGTTCAATATAATAGTGGACCAATACATGTTTCTTGTGATGATTTATGTAAGGTATCTTTGTCATGCGTACGTATGAGTTATGACGTATAAAGACGTATGTATAAATTTATAAATGAAAGTAAAAGAATGTAAAATATTACCTATTGCCAAGGATTTGGTGCAAGCTGATTATAGCATCCTCCTCTTCTTTGGTGAAATTGCCTCTTTTAATATCAGGCTTTAGATAGTTCATCCACCTTAGTCTACAGCTTTTTCCACATCTCAAAAGACCTGTAGTTAATAATAACAATCAACGTTAAGAAACTTCTATAATCAAATTTAGGAAATTAGACTATATATATGTAAATGGGGTTTTTAAGTTGTTCATACCAGCTTGCTTAGGGAGGGCTCGCCAGTTACTATGGCCATGTTTATGGATAAAAGAGACCAAGATTTGATCTTCTTCAGGCGTCCATGGGCCTCTTTTCAACCCCATCTTCTCGCAGCATGGAGCTCTTCCCATCTTTTGATTCTGTCTCTGATGAAAATTCGAGGTTTTGTCTTGTGGTGACGATCAAGATAGATTCTGCTGATGATGATCAAATGCTTATTTATGAGCTAGATGATCAAATGTTGTTGATGAGCTTGAGAATGACTGACTAGTGGTTTTGAGTATTTATACTAGATTTGTCAAAAGGCATGTGGGAGAATTCAAAAGCATTTGGTGAGCTTCGCCGAAGGAGAGAGAGAGAGAAGGAGAGAGAGAGAGAGAGAGAGAGAGAGAGAGAGAGAGAAAGATGTCGTTATTGGGTTATTGGCACCGTAGTCAAAAAGTATGTTGTACATATATATTATATTGCATGTGGGAATGAATGATATCTTTCTTTAGAGACTACCAAAAATATAATATAATATAATAACAATTGGTGTGGATGAAGATAAATGTGTTGTGAATTTGTGATGGTGAATTATGTGGTGTAAGTGTGTGTTCCGAGTAAAACAAAGTCGTCGGGTAGACGCACGAACTGTATTCTATAATGAGCCCACACGTACATTTTTGGAAAATCAACGTTTACGATTATATACGACAAAAACAAAAATCAACGTTGGGTGGATTATGTGTTGACCCAAAAAACACTGCTTTATTTCTCCTCGTAAAAAAGTTTCGTACTCTCTTTACTTTTCTTACTAAACTTATATAACTTTTTAACCTCGGTAAGTAATCTTGTTTAGTTCCCGTCCATTTCTAGTAATTACAGTGTGTATGTATATTATGATGCCGTGTCCATATATACGAAAGGCTATATATACTTGCATTTACCTCTTCTTTTTTGAAAGCAAAGACTTGCATTTACTTATTCCTCGATTCTTTTAATTAATTGAACCTTCAAGCCATGCTTTTTCAATATTAATCTATTAATTTTACCATGGTACATTATCTACCTAATTTTCTTAATCGTATGTAAGTTATGATGAAAATTTTGGTTTTAAGTACTTTTAGCTTTGAGGGTTCAATTTTGATTATTCATCTTTAAAAATAATTATATATGAATAGGCATATGTATTTGCCTAAATTTGACAAATGTCATGTACACATCCAGATTTTGAATATATATACGTGAGATGAAAAGTTTTGAAAACTTAATTTGACTACATATACCCTTCAATATATAATTACTTTTGAAAATCATTTTTACACAATAATTAAGATTAATAAGTGTCTTGATTTAATATAACTATAAATATGTGATATACTATAAAGTATTTTTCAGTATGAATTTGCTTATTTTCGTATTTTCATGTGTACAAAATATCTTTAAAATGTCATACTAGAATTATCATTGATATGCTTGATTACAAAAAATACTTTTATAAATTTTACATAACATATTTAATTTTTGCTTTCAGAATCTAGTTATTACAAATTTATACATCAATATCAGTGTGGGGTTTAAAAAAAAGTTCTCTGTAAAAAAATGTAAGTTCTCTTTTTATCCGGTTTAATAAACCACGAACAAAAAACCGAAACAAAATATCTGACCGGGCGAAATAGCTCATATTATGCAAGTTGACTAACGCGTTCACACACACCGGCCCGTTCAACAAAAGGCCTTTACCCCTCCTCAAATAAATATATAAATTATTTTTCTTTTGCTGTTAATAGTAGAAGTTTTTGTTCAAAGTTCCGAGTCAACGAAAGAGGCCTACGATAGGTTTCAATATATCTATTAATTGACATTTAGAAATTAAACTTTCTCTCTTGTATTATATATTACAAAACTTAGTGAAGTTTAGAAGAATACTATCAAATTATTTAATTTTTTTTGGCCGTAATAGCTGAATAAGTAAGAGTAAGATTAAAAATATAAAAACTAAATGTAATAGATCGTATAAGTGTTTCTTTGTTGAAAACAAGGTTTAAGCTACAAAAATTGATCACAATTAAAAATTCCATACACTGATATAATGTTGGGTTTTGCGGTCTCGTACTCTCCTATATACTTGTGATTCTTTTCCATCATATGTGATTATTTTTTTACTTACAAACATATTAGTATCACCTATATATATATATATGGCATAATCATCTTCAATTAGGAAAAATGTTTATTTGCCCGCTTGTCACAAAGGGTATCTTCTTCATATACTGTTTACAAAGGTGCTACTCGTAGGACCCCATTCATAAAATAAAGCTGTGTCGAAAATCAGTGACAAATGTTTTTGGACGTGTTCTCAAATGTAGATACAGACGTTGAAAATTGGTGCGGTTAGCGATTTATTGTTAGCTTACAATGTTATTTGATGATCAACAAAATTTGTATACAAACGCTACGTACGAAATGTGTTAGGGACAACAAAAGTCATGTCTCCAAAACCAACAGAAAATAAATACCGCTTTGTTGAATGTGGACGCAAACAGTTTCAAAATAGTATCTGGTATAGTTTTAGTATTCTTGGTTCATGATGCTAATCAATGAATGACCAGAAACAGTTTCAAAATAGTATCTGGTATAGTTTTATTTGTGCAGATATGTTTTATCACGTTTCTTTCAGATATTTTCAAAATTTAAAATGTGAATGCAAGGGATCAATACAGAATAGCTGTTGAACTTTTGAATTTAGGTAATAAATGCTATAATAAACTTATGATATATTTATGTAATTTACTGAAGCAGGTTGACATGCTATATCGCCTAATTTATAAATTAATACTACAACGGTTAAACTAATGTAAAATAGTGGAATAAATGATAAATGTGAAAGCATGTCATTCTTGACTGTTTAACTAGGAATAGAATTGATCAAACATAGATCACTGCATGCATTTGTAAGATTTATACTTTTAACAGTTGAAATAAAAATGCATAGTCTTAACAGTGGAAAATATATTCGTCAACACAGAAATAGTAAAAACAGTTTGTCCATGTTTTATCTTAAATTTGTATAATACATTCTGGATATATCAATCACAAAAGTAGATACTCGTATGAATAATAGATCATATTCTCGGAGTAGCAATTAGCAATTACTGAATCTAAATTTAAATGAAAAATAGTGGAATAGTGGTTCTCAAAATTTAAATATATATCACAGATAATCGGTAATCTACATTAATTAACAAATATATTTTGTAAGATTTGACCTATTTTTACACGTTAAATTTCTTTCTAAAAAAATATCGCCCTTACTCATATTTTCATCACCACAATTATTCAAAAAGTTTTGTTTCATATCGTTCTAACAACAAAAGAAAAAAGCTAACTGAATCATATTACTTTTTTTTGGCCATCTATAGGTGAAATATATATATATATATATATATATTTATTTTTTTGCAACAACTTCAAATTCCTAAAACGGTTCTGGGAATTGGTGAACATATTTTTATATAAAACGATTGCAAATTTTAATATACACAAACAGATTTATAATTATATTTAATAATTCTCACAACAATCATTTTAATTAAAATTATATAAATTTAAATTCATAATTGTTTTAGCATGTGCATGGCACGGATACTCTCCTAATAAATGATAAATGTGAAAGCATGTCAGCATTGACTGTTTAACTTGGAAAAGAATTGATCAAACATAAATCACTGCATGCATTTGTAAGATTTATAATTTTAACAGTTGAAATAAAAATTTATATTTATAACAGTTTAAATATTTTCGTCAACTCAGAAGTAGTAAAACAGTTTTGTCCATGTTTTATCTTAGATTTGTATTATTTTTTATTTTTTTGACAGCTCTAGTATTATACTTTCTGGATGTACCAATCACACATGTTCTTATGAATAGATCATATTCTCCGAGTAGCATATAAGCCTAGAATTTGACCTTATAAAAGTAAAAGCTGACTTTGAAATAATGATATGAAAGTCAATTTCATCAAATTTAAACATACAAATCATTAACTCCCGGTGCTGAATTCTAAGAAGTAAAATGATATCAAATCGAATATTAAATCCGGTAACAGAAATATATTTATTGTGTTTTTTTCGTCAACTATTTATTTTGTTTATAAACGCGTTATATATAGAACAGAACTGTAAGGAAGATTAAAGTCGCAATAGTACGTACGGAGTGAGAGAAGAAGATGGGGTTGGTGCTTTTGTCCTGTCCCCGAAATAGTCGCCAATATAATATATTGAACTATATATAGAAGGACCACTATTCCACTAGTTTTCATCTCTTTATTTCTCATTCTTTCAATAATATATTTTAAAAGAACATTGGATTTCCTTTTGGCAACGGGTCTTCTTTATCTCACGGGTCATTATAGATTTAGTTGCGTAATGGAAACTTGTTAAATTTAGCAAATACTGTATATGATAAAGTATATGCGTTCACACTCGACAGAATAAAGTATTCATTTTTGGTGTCGCAAGGAGTCTATTTATTTACGTTTTTTCCAAAATTCAGATCGACTTGTTTTTTCAGATCGACTTGTTTTTCTTCCAGTTTTTTTACTTACCCTTTTTTCCTTCAAAGTTCAGATTGATTTGATGATTTAAAAATATTTTTTTTAATATTCGTTTATATTCCATACAAGTACACTAGCGAGTTTTATAACTCAAATTGTTTTTAAGCGTATATGTATATTTTAAGAAATAGTCTTTGTCAATTAGTGTTGTACATATAATAAAACTTTTATAAATTAATAATATCAGAATTTTTTAATATTTTATTAAATTATAGAATTATTAATTCATCAATAAAACAATAATTATTAATTCATCAATAAAATAATAATTATTAATTAATCACTAATTAATTTAATTTATAAAGATATTTTCAATTTAAACTTTTAATGTTTATTAAAAGATGAAAAAAATATTTTCAATAGTATAAAATTCATTCAGCAAATCAGTACAACAAAAACACAAATGACTCTCATGGTGATGACACCTCAATATTTTAGACCTTTATGAAGATGACATTTCAGCAAAACAATTCACCAATCAAAATATTTTATTAATACAACTCATCTACTTATTTTAAATTTTAAACTTAAATCCATTAGTGGAAGCCCCCTTGTCCCAATGGTTTGATAAGGATTTATTAATCCTTCAGGAGGTCTGGGTTTTAATTAATCTCCGAGAGAGCATGGTTTTTTTTTAATTATGCAGATTAATTAAGAATGATGCAAATTAATGGATGCAAGTTTACAAGAGATCTTCAGTGTGGTGCAAGTTGAATCGTCAGACGATAGTAAAATTGATCTTTGTAGAATCGTCGATGTAACAGTTCTCATATTTTATAATAGATTCATAAATCAGTGTTAAA